AACAAGGTCGTCAGTAATTTAGTTAAAGAAGAATGTTCTCAGGGTTTTTTTTTTTTTTTTTTTTTTTTTTAAGATTAATCCAGACGTGGCCCAATTTCCCATACCTCTGTCAAGATCTAACAGCTAAGAGATGGCAGAAAACTCAGAGGTCAATTATGTCAACTTCCATTTCCTTTGTCAACTCTTCAATGATCTTTGAGACACATTTACTAAAGTTAGAAAATGAAGTAATCAAAGAGCTGATTTTAAAACAAGCTTATCAAACTAACTGCCAGCATCCTTGGTACACACAAGTCACTCAATCTGATGATATAGTGCTGTATTTTATATACATGGATAGTAACACCTAAAAGTGAGCCAGCTGTAACTTTCAACTTGAAAGACCCTTAATTAAAACTCCCTTATGTAATCAAAAAATAAAATTCTAAGAGAAATACCCTTGGCTAAGAGGGGGTCCATCAGGCAGCTGGCAACTAACTATAACATACAGAATGTCCTATGTTATATACAGGCCCCAGAGACTTGCTATAGAAGAAAAGATAAAAAGAGAATATAACTCAAGGGACCAGGAAATGAGAGTCACACACACCTCATTATGCACCCTCCTTCCTTTGCAATCCAGGCACAGCTGGCCATCAGTAACATTAAAACAGAGATCTTAAGATTGACTTTTGTAGCAATAAGACACCAAGTTCCAGCCTGACTCTAGCATAGCATCACATGATAGATAGCAGCCCCTGAAAGAAACTGAAGTATTTTACTCCAAAATATATTAGCACTGAAGTCAGCTACCTGGAGGCTTTATCTGCATGATGAAACCTTGGTCTCCACAACCCCTTATCTTAATCCAGACATTCCTTTCTATTGAGTTCAGTTCTTACCTAAAGAGTTATCTAATAACTCTTTCAACCAATTGCCAATCAGAAAAATCTTTGAGTCTGCCTGTGACCCCCACTTCCAGTTGTCTTGCCTTTAAAGACCAGAGCAATGTACATCTTACATGTATTGACTGATGACTCCTATCTCCCTAAAATGTCTAAAACCAAGTTGTAGCCCGACCACCTTGGGCATATGTTCTCAGGATCTCCTGGGGCTATGTCATGGGCCACTGGTCACTCATGTTTGGCTCAGGATAAATCTGTTCAAATATTTTCCAGAGTTTGACTCTTTTCATCAACACTTAGATGCGTGATTTCAAGACATGGCAATAATGTGATTGTTTTTACCCACTTTAAAGGCTCAATTCAAATTCCATGACCCAATGAAACATTTCCCGTTCCCTTGAGTTAATTTCTCTTTTTATCTTTTCTTCCATAGCAAGTCTCTGAAGCCTGTATGTAACACAGGACATTCTGTATGCTATTGTTAGTTGCCAATAGGTGAACATTCCTCCAGTAGATGGTGGGCTATTTCCCTAAAGTCAGGGATTATCTTATTCATCTCTGTTCTCTTTCCCTCACTGTGTCCACGAATTAAAGCACAGAATCTAATTCAAAACAACACAAACAAAAAAACGTCAATAGTCTAAATGGTCTAATCAATAGTCTCATCAATTTGTTATTATTTACAGAAGATGTTTTCAGGAACAAAGTATAGTGTGTTCCGCCACAGAGGAACCAAATAGCGAGTAGATAATCACACTTTGAACAAATCCTCTAAGAGAATAATACAATTAAACAGAGAAGCGACAGGAAACACTTAAGGCAAAAAAGGAAAGCGAAACCAAGACTGTCTGCTCATCTGGGAACCTGGAGACACTCCCCAATGTAGGAAAAGGGTAAGAAAGAGATCCCAGTGGTCCCCATGCCCATCATGGACTCCTGTAATCCTAGCCACAGGAGAGCCCCTCAACTCTCATGGGCCATAAGACTAACATAGAGAGCTGCCTAGAGTTGACATGAAAGCATTGCCCCATAGAAGGACTGGTCCCACACACCCGCTGAGTCCTAAGCAGCTACAGCATAGTGCCATTCTGAGAGCCTAGCCTCCGCCAAACTGCAGCCTGTGCTGAAGCATGAAAGTCCCTGCATCTTCACATTCCTAGATCCCCAATGACATCCCCCACATGTGGGCACTGCTGTGGCTGGCCATTGCCACCAGGGCTGAAGCATGAACCATTGACAGTGGCCCTGATACCCCCAGCAGTTGAGCCATCACATGTATTTATAGGCCCCACTGCTGGATGCCACTACCAGGGCCAAGGTGCAAGCCACTGGCAGTGACCCCACTGCCTTAGTAGTAGAGTCATCATGCATTCACAAGTGTCCTAAGGACAGGTTACCCTATCCAACATAAGGACCCAACAACATAAAAACACTACAGCCCAATATCCCTGATGAATATAGACATAAAAAATTCTCAACAAAATACTAGCAAGACAAATCTAACAGTACATCAAAAAGATAACGTACCATGACCAAGTGGGATTCACCCCAGGGATGCAAGTTTAGTTCAGCATAAACAAATAAATAAATGTGATACATTACATTGACAGAATGTAGAACAAAATCTATACGATCATCTCAATAGACACAGAAAAACCACTTCATAATATTCAGCATCCTTTTATGATAAAAACTTTTAATAAACTAGTCATAGAAGGAACATACCTGAACATAATGAAGGCATATATGACAAATTCATAGCTAACATCATAGTAAATGGGGAAAGGCTTAAAGCCTTTCCTTTAAAACTAGAACAAGACAAAGATGTTCACTTTGCTAATCGTATTCAACATAGTACTGGATGTCACAGTCAGAGCAATCAGGCAAGAGACAGAAATAAAAGGCACCCAAATTAGAAAAGAGGATGTAAAATTGTCCCTCTTTGCAGATGGCATGATCTTATATCTAGAAACACCTAAAGACTTCACCAGAAAAGCCTTAGATCTAATAAATAAATTCAGTAAAGTTACAGAATACAAATTCAACATAAAAAAAGTGTGTCTACATATGAACAACACACTAGCTGAAAAAGAATTCAATAAGGCAATCCCATTTACAATAACTACAAAAATACCTAGGAATAAATTTAACTAAGGAGGTAAAAGACTTCTACAAGGAAAACTACAAGACACTGATGTTTAAGAATTGAAGAGGGCATAAACAAATGAAAAGACAGCCCATTCTCATGGATTAGAAAAATTAATATCATTAAAATGACCAGACTGCTCAAAGCAATCTACAGATTCAATCCAATCCCTACCAAGATAGCAATGTTGGCAAGGCATAGCAGCTCACACCTGTAATTCCAGCACTTTGAGAGGCAGAGGCAGGAAGATCGCTTGAGCCCAGGAGTTTAAGACCAGCCTGGAAAACATAGAGACCTCATTGCTACAAAATTTTTTTTAAATTAGCGAAGTGTTGTGGCATGTGCCTGTAGTCCCAGCTACCTCAAGAAGCTGAAGTGGGAGGATTGTTTGATCCTGGGAGACTGAGGCAGCAGTGAGTCATATCATGCCACTGCACTCTAGCCTTGAAGACAGAGAAAGACACTGTCAAAAAAAAAAAGACACCAATGCCATTTTTCACAGAAATAAAGAAAATGCATACATTGGGGAAAAGGACACTTTCTTCAATAAATGGTGTGGGGAAAATTGTATATCCACATACAGAACCTTGAAACTAGACCTCTATTTCTCATCATATACAAAAGTCAACTCAAGATAGATGACAGGCTTAAACATAAGACCCCAAAACATAAAACTACCTGAAGAATACATGAGGGAAGTACTTCAGGGAATTACTTCAGAGCATTGGTCTAGGCACAGATTCAATGGCTAAGACCTCAAAGGCACAGGCAACTAAAACAAAAATAGACAAATGGAACTATATTAAACTAAGAAGCTTCTGCTCAGCAAAGGAAACAATCCATATACTGAGGAGACAACCTGTTGAATGGGAAAAAATATTTGCAAATTATTCATCTCATAATGGACTAACATCCAGACTACATAGGAAACTCAAACAGCTCAACAGTAAAATAAGAACAGCAACAACAGATAATAATAATAATAATTACATTAAAAAAGGGCAAAGGACATGAATAAATATTTCTGAAGAAAAAACATACAATGGCCAGAAGTTATATGAAAAAATGTTAAACGTCACTAATCATCAGGGAAATATGCAAGTCAAAACCACATTGAGATATCACCTCACCCCATTTAAAACTGTTATTACTAAAAAGACAAAAAGTGATTGATAGATGCTGGTGAGAATGAAAAGAAGAGAGAACTCTGATACACTGTTTGTGGGAACATAAATTAGTACAATCTTATGGAAAACAGTATGCAGATTTCTCAAAAACTAAATGTAGAATTACCATATGACCCAGCAATCTCACTACTGGATATCTTCCCAAAGGAAAAGAAATCAATATATCAAAGAGTAGAATGACAGACTCCATCCAGGTGGAGGAGTGTGTTGGTTGGATTGGGGAGAAGATGAAGAGAGGTTGGGTAATAGGTCAAAACTTATAGTTAGATAAACGGAACAAGTTCTAATGTTTGGTAGCAGGTATCTATAGTTAAAACAATACACTATATATTTCAAAATAGCTGGAAGAGAGGACTTGAAATGTTCCCAACACTTAGGGATGATAAATACTCAAGATGATGGATACCGCAATGTCCCGACTACACATTCTATGCATGTACAAAATATCATATAAATATGCACATACATTACATATCAATAAACAAAAGTTTAAAATTTTTCAAGCATAAAAACAGCAACCAATTTTTGGAATTTTAGAATTTTTGACATTTTTAAAATGTCAAAATATATATTTTCTAATAAAAGCAGTTTCTTCAAAGCAGCTTAAAGACCTACTTATGAAAAATCTAGTTCTATTTTACCAAAATTTTAATCAAATCAAGAAAAAAGAATTCTATTTAAAACTATGAATTAACTTGAACATTCAACATTCTGGGTCTTACTATTAACCTGGCAATGACATTCACTAACTAAGAGCAGTAATATTTGGACAGTCGTCCTTACCTTCATGAATATACATCTGTTGAGCATCTTCAAGATATAATAACCCCAGTAAAGGTGAAGGACTTGCAAGACGATGAGCTGTAGGTTGAGGAAGATGTATGAAAAGAAAGGCTCGAGGTAATACATAGGTATAATCAGCGTGCAATATAAAATCCTGAAACACCAAACAGATGAGAGACATTCATTACAACCAAAGGACTTATGAATTTTCAATAACAAAACATGTACTTTTTCTCCTAAGCCATACATTAATTTCATTTCTAATAATGCCTAGGAAATTACTGAAATAAAAGATACAATAATATTATCTTAAATATCATTACTGGCAAGGAACAAAAAAGTACAATCTGTCTTCCTGAAGAAAAGTTAAAGAAAACAGCATTTTTATTACCCAGTGTTTAAACTAGAATGTTTCTGAACTTTGGTTTCCTCTTTTCAAACAACATCATGCACTAACCATTTTTATCTTTCAGTGATGGGGTTAGAGGATGCTGAAGAACAAATAAGATAATGCATGTTTATACAAGGTCATTATTGCCTTAAAACATAATCTTATTTATTTGGCATCAAAGATGAATATAGAATACTACAAAAATAAATATTCCAAATAAAAGAAGCTTTAACCAAGCAAAAATTCCATGATTACTTCCATTTCTGCTTCCTAAACTACATGCTTTATTAATTTCATAAACAGACACAATCTGAACTGCTCCTGATGACCTAAGATGCACATTGTCTTCAGATATTATTGCCATAGAGGCCAGGCATGGTGGCTCATCCTTGTAATCCCAGGACTTTGGGAGGCTGAGGTGAACAGATCACTTGAGGTCAGGAGTTTGAAACCAGCCTGGCCAACATGGTCAAATCCTGTCTCTACTAGAAATACAAAAATGAACTGGGTGTGGTGCCTTGCACCTGTAATCCCAGCCACTAGGGAGGCTGAGACATGAGAATCATTTGAACCTGGGATGCAGAGGTTGCAGTGAGCCAAGATTGTGCCACTGGACTTCCGCCTGGGTGACAGAGCAGGACTCCATAAAAAAAATTTTTTTTTAAAGATATTATTGCCATATGAAGGGCTATTTGTTCATTTCTTAAACCTACATAGTACTACTATAAATTTAGAGCTCTTCAATAGGTTTGTTTATAAGTATACTAGTTATAGAAATAATTTTTCATGTAACATTGGGGAAACAAAAAAATAAAATTGTCCATAACACCATCACCTTAAACAAACATTGTAATTTTCATGCATTCTCTTTCAGTATTTTCCTATATAATTTAAAAAAATTTTTATTAACATGCAGTAAAATTTACTGTTTTTTGGTGTACCACCAAATGAATTTAATATGCCTATAGGTTTGTTCAAACACTATTACAATTAGAATACAGAACAGTCCATCATGTCAAAAAATTCCCTGATGCTATTCCTTTATTGCCCACACCCTCCTCCATCCCTAACACTTGGCAAACACTTTGCTCTCTATCCTTTGTTCTGTCTTCCCAAGGACATAAATGGAATCATACAGTGTGTGAGCTTTTAAAGCCACCTTCTTTCACATAGCAAAGTGCTTTTAAGATTCATTCAGTGATAATGGTTATCAACAGCATGCTCCTCCTTATTACTGAGTGGCACTCCACTTTACAGCTGCACCACAGTTTGTCTTTTCACCCACTGAAGAGCATTTGGGTTGTTTCCAGCTTTTGACACTTATGAATAGAACTGCTATAAATATTCACGTAGATATTTAAATGTGAACAGAAATTTTGATTTGTCAAGGGTAAGCATATAGGGGTAGAATTGTGTGCCATATGGTAAATATATGCTTAACTTTATAAAAAACTTAAAAACTATTTTCTAGAGTGGTTGCTTTATATTCCCACCAGCAAAGCATGAGAATGTCAGTTGTTCTGTAGCCTTGTTTTGTACTTCATATTGTTCTATATTTTTGCCACTGCAGTAAACAAAGCATTTGTGAGACTATTATGTTCAATTACATTTAGCTTTAAATCAAAGACATTTTATGTTATTTAGACCACTTGGCACATATAGTCTTTCATAAACTAAAATTATTTCTGTAAAAGTGTGTATTTCTAAATGTGAGATTACTGTTTCAAGATGTACATTAAAGTTACAAAAATTCAGCATGTATATTAAAAGGTACTAAAGTGTTGCCAAATATTTTCCAAAATTATAACTATTTATAAGGCCATGAGCAATTTATGAAAGAAGGGTTTAACTGAACTCAGAACTAGTATGAAATAGCTTCAAAATGTGTTAATTTAAAGATAAAACACTTTCAATTTACATTATTTACAGGCTTTAACAGTTCCCCTATGTCTGCTTAGTAGCTCTATTTCTTCTTTTTTAAGTTATCAGTTCGAGTTCTTTGTTTGAAAAACAGGGGCCAGGTGCAGTGGCTCATGCCTGTAATCCCAGCACTTTGGGAGGCCGAGGTGGGTGGATCACCTGAGGTCAGTTCAAGACCAGCCTGACCAACATGGTGAAACCCTGTATTTACTAAAAAATACAATTATTAGCCAGGTGTGGTGGCAGGTGCCTGTAATCCCAGCTACTCAGGTCACTGAGGCAGAAGAATTGCTTGAACCTGGGAGGCACAGTGTGCAGTGAGCTGAAACTGCACCACTGCACTTCAGCCTGGTTGATGCAGTGAGATTCCATCTCAAAAAAGAAAATAGATGTAATAACTTGATTGCTTTTAAAAACTTAGGAATTACAGAAAAATATACAGAGGTTAAGGAAAAAAATCACCTGAAGTCTCACAACTTACAGGTAGTCCAGAATATTTTGGTGAACATAATTCAGGGTATCTCTCTCAAAAACACATTCTTTAAGGTGCTTTTTTTGTTGCCCCTCCTAACACCACATGATTTTATGTAAGGATGTGATCACTACCTATGTGTATATTTGTACCCTGCCTTTTTCATGCAGTAACATTTTACAGAGAGCTTTCCACATCAATGAACATAGCTATCTGTCAAGAGTCAGCAAAGTTGTTTGTAAAGGAACAGATGATAAATATTTCAGGCATCTGGACCATTTGTTCTCTGTTGCAACTACTCAGTTCAGCCAATACAGCCATGACAGCTAACATTACATAAACTAATTCATGTATAGAAAGTACATATATTAGTGTGTGTGGCTGTGTTCCAAGAAAACTTTATCAACAAAACCAGGCAATAGGCTGAATTTTGCATTTGAGCCATAGCCTGCCAACCCCTACACCATAAGTAATGGCTTCACAGAAATCCATTTTATAGCTATATCATAATTTAACTAATCTCTTATTGGAAGACATTCAAATTCTTCCCAACTGCTCATTATATTAGAAAAAATGCTGTGATAATTACTTGTTAAAACGTTTTTTTTTTCAGTCGGGAGACAGGGTCTTGCTCTGTCTTCCAGGCAGGAGTGCAGTGGCATGGCTCACTGCAGCCTCTAACTCCCACGGTCAAGCAATCCTTCAACCTCAGCTACCTGAGTAGCTGAGACTCTTGGTACATGCCACCACAACTGGCCAATTTTTTTTTTTTTTTTTGAGACAAGGTTTTGTCTTTTTGCCCAGGCTGATTTCAAACTCCTAGACTTAAGGGGTTCACTAACTTGGGCCTCCCAAAGTTCTGGGATTACAGGTATGAACCACCACATGTTGCCCTATAAAAACATTTTGATGTAATTGTTTGATTATCCACTTAGAATAGCTAAAATTCTGAATCAAAGAGTAGACTCATTTTATAATTTGGAGTATAATGTTAGACTGCTTTTCAGAAAGACTATACCAACTTATATTCTTGCACCCAATATATAAGAGAACTTGCTTCCTCAGATATTGACTAATATTGCATTTTGTCAGCGTCCACCTAAAATAACAGAGTATTATTTATATTTACATTTTTATTTAATGTATAGTGACTATATATATTTTATACATATAATTATATCTTTTATTGGTTATTTTACTTGGCTACTTTTATTTATTCTTTTATCCACTGCTGCTTTGTAGCATCTGTCCATTTTTCTATGGGAGCATTTATTTTTTCTGTTGATTCTTAGATGCTCTTTATATATTAAGATATTGGCTGGGAGCAGTGGCTCATGCCTGTAATCTCAGCACTTTGGGAGGCCGAGGCGAGTGGATCACAAGGTCAAGAGATCGAGACCATCCTGGTCAACATGGTGAAACCCTGTCTCTACTAAACATACAAAAAATTAGCCGAGCACGGTGGCGCGCGCCTGTGGTCCCAGCTACTCGGGAGGCTGAGGCAGGAGAATTGCTTGAACCCAGGAGGTGGAGGTTGCCGTGAGCCAAGATCACGCCATTGCACTCCAGCCTGGGTAACGAGAGTGAAACTCCGTCTCAAAAAAAAAAAAAAAAGATATCAACTATATTTTTGAATTATGTTAATTAGCTTTACCTATTCCAATACTTTCTTTCAATACTGATTTTTTTTGGCAAAGTTATTTAAAAATTTTTAAAATAGAATCTGTCAATTGCTTATTTTATACCTGGCCTACATGTTATGCTTTAAAGGCCCTTTTTCAGCCCCATCAATATAAAACATATTTTCCTATATTTTCTTAAAGTCCTGCCTTTAATACTTATATATCATGTCACTTCTTTGTGCATTTCCTCATCTGTAGAATGCAAGAAGAGAGTACCTACCTTATTTATTCAATAAACTGTTACTGAGCACCTACTGAAGTGCTACCTGACACTTGGCAGTAGCCAGGAATATAAAAAGGAATGAAAGGGACCAAACCCCTAAACCAGCAGGGCTTACCTTCTGGTACCCACATTTATTTATAGGCTTATTAAAGGAAATGACACATTTAAAAACCTATTTGCCATTCCGGTTTGCTGGATCCTTGGGCAATTTTGTGCCTTATTCTGTATTCTTTCTGCCTAGAATGTACTTTCTCTTTTCAACTGAACCCCCTTCTATCCATTAAAGTACGGGTCTCTCCACAACAAGTTTCCATGTAATTCTGGTCACTGATGAGTTTATTCCTTTCCTCCTGGCTCTCCCCTCCTCACTAGCAGGCAAGCTTTCCAAAGGCAGTGGCCAGGACACCTTCATCTCTGGGTCCCTCCCTTGTCTGGCTCAGGGTCTTGCCCCTTAATATGTTATTTA